CATTGTTCTGGTTATGGTTATATCTCTAGTCATTGTTCTGATTATAATTATAATTCTAGTCATTGTTCTGGTTATGGTTGCAATTCTAGTCATTGTTCTGATTATAATTAAAATTCTACTCATTGTTCTGTTTTCAGTTGTAATTCTAGTCATTGTTCTGGTTTTAGTTGTAATTCTAGCCATTGTTCTGGTTTCTGTTGTAATTTTAGTCATTGTTCTGGCTATGTTTGGACTTGTCCTCATCCACAGACGAGTGATAGATCAGCTGAGGTTACTGTGATCACTCGCCCTTTGATTTGATAAAACATTGCTTTGATCAGTAGTTACTGTGCAACACATCTTTGCTTTGTAGTAACGAGAGTGTCCATGTTGTTTTCACATTCCGACTTCAAAGCACAGCTCGGGAATTGAGAGCATCTGAGGAGCGCGTGAATGCAGTGATTACACTTGCTCTGATGGCAGCAGGTAGCCTTCCGTTAACTAAGCTAAACATGCTTAAATTAAAATGCCTAAAGCTAAACCTCCCTTGTATTCACATTTCTAAACCTGTTGTCCAACAAAAGAGAACATTATAACCTTTTTACTCCACAACACCAGTCAAATGCTTCCTTTTGTGATCTGATGAGGCTTCTTGTCACAGAATGAGGCAGAAAATATGTTCCATAGGCTACTTTAAAAAGAATGGATTTAAGTATATTTATAATCCATTGCTCGATGATAGCAATGGATTATAAATATACTTAATTATTATGAAAATACCAGAGGTGGCTTGAATAACACAGATAAACTATATTGTCGCAGTCGAGTGTTTATTGTCTTTGTTTTATCATTCAAAATGTTTATATGTTCGGTTTAATCAGTTACAGCTATAATAGCGATGCCTTTGTCCATATAAGGGATTTCCTGGAGGGTCATGAGTTCTGCTACTTCAGTGACTGAATATGTGGATTTTATGTGCAAGGGCGCCCTCTGGCGTCCAGTATGAATGAAACAGACATAATGTGTTTATAGTGCTAATGGCCAATCCATCATTTTTTGGGGAATTTTTATTTATTTATATTTTTAGTAAGTATCGGTTCAGGCACCGTTTAGGCACCAGAACCATTTTAAAAGTATCGATTTGGCACCGGTATCGAAAAAACCCAAACGATACCCAACCCTAGTTGTGAGATGTCATGATGACATTACAGAAAGCCTTTAATTGTCCTGTTTTATTTAATGTCCTCGAATATTTGGGTCTTGTTGTAATCATGATTTAATTGTGCTAATTAAGTGAATGAAACATTTTTTTGGCTGGAGAGAAAAGCTGCCGCAGGACTAGCAGAAATAAGTGAGTGTGTGACTTTAGCCCGACCCTCCACATGTTACTAACATAACTCCATTAATCATAATCACACACACACACACACACACACACACAAACACACACAGACCTGTGCTGCACATCGGCAGATGTGTGTGAGCAGATCTGTTTACCAAGCCATCGATCTGTGTGTGTGTGATGGAGTGTTGTGGTTTATTTTAATTTCTGATGGTGTAATTAGATCAGATTAATTTGAAATCATCATGTGTTGGCACTCATGATCACGCAGTGGCCGCACGTGTGCAGACTGACTGATTGATGAATAAACCAATGTCATGTGACGCGCCTCACACCTGTACCGCTTCAGTCTGTGTGTGTGTGTTTGTCAGTGGTTTTGTTAAGATGATAAATATGGACTCTCAGTTCTTGCGTTCAGAAACGTTCAGTAGATGTTTGCAGCAGTGTGTTCTGCTCCAGAGATTCATGTTTCTCATGAATACTTTAAAATCTTGTCAGCATTCTCTGTATAGAGAGCATATCTCTGTAAGGCTCATGCGTGTTTGTGTCTGCTGTGGGGTCTTTATGGCATGTAGTCATTCGTGGGCGAGAGAAGGATGTTTTGTGAGGTATGTCAGTGTATTGGTTCAGGGTGTTGCTGGTTAAGTGCTTAAGGAAGCGGTGAGTCTTCAGCTGTTTCTTGAAGGTTGTGATGGTCAAATCTTGTCAGCATTCTCTGTATAGAGAGCATATCTCTGTAAGGCTCATGCGTGTTTGTGTCTGCTGTGGGGTCTTTATGGCATGTAGTCATTCGTGGGCGAGAGAAGGATGTTTTGTGAGGTATGTCAGTGTATTGGTTCAGGGTGTTGCTGGTTAAGTGCTTAAGGAAGCGGTGAGTCTTCAGCTGTTTCTTGAAGGTTGTGATGGTCTCAGCGGTTCAGATGGAGGTCAGCAGAGAGGAACAGAGAATGTCTAGGGTCTGGAGAGTGACTCTTTCACCATGTTGTAAAGAAGGCGTCGCTCATTTACTGACCTGAGCTGACGAGAGAAAGCATAGACTGGTAGCAGTGACACACCCATCGCCCATCATTTTATTACATGCATGTACCATATTTTTTTGGAATATGTCACATTTTTCGTTATCTGAAACGTGCTGAGACTTACAGTCCAAAGCAACTTATATGATGCAGTTATTGCAACTCATTTTCCGGATGATTCTATATGTGGTCAAAGAGGTAAACAGGGAGTCGCTCTGAATCTCTCTGTCCCGTCGAGACGTTTGAGCTCCGCTGACAGGCTTCACTCCTATTGGCTGTCGCTCCCGAGAGTCGCTCTTCATTTGCATAAAGTAAAACTTTTCTCAACTCTCTGAGGTCACTGGACACGCCCACATCCGCTCGCTATGAGCTGCTGTTTCGACGAGGTTATCATCGCTGTGTGTGTGTGGATGGGCACATGCCTGAGTTTAGTTTCGGCATACAATCAAACATGATGCCGTTTATTCCTCATGTTATTATGGCCAAACCCTTAGTGCAGTTTTTATTCCTCACTGAACATCCAGTTTCACTTACAAATGACTTAAGATGTGTGTTAACGGCTGAAGATCTGAGTTCAGTCTGAGATCACAGCACCGATGATTGATCAGAGACTGAACACACACTCACTCACGGACTCACACACACATGCAAGCGCACAAACACTTACACACTCATGCACGCAAGCACACACGGTCCTCATCCATGTAATGTGCTCCTGAAATAGCCAAGTGAGCTCAAATTGTAATCTGTGAAAAGCATAATTCAGTCTCATTTCACTGATTACAGTTCGGTGTGTGTGTGTGTCTCATCTCATAAACAGGACTCTCTTATGCTAATTACAGTGACGTGAGTGGCTTCTGCAGAGGGGCGGAGCCTGAGAGTGTGTGGGTGTGTGTGTGTGTGAGGCCATCAACTGTATCGAGAGGTCTATTTTAATGGTTGCTATGGAAACTGAGTGGCCAAGAGAAGTGCAGACTCAGATCTCTGAACTGTGTGTCAGTCTCTGCATCACAAACACTTTCCTCTCCTCCGTCACGTCCAGTACAATACGCCACAAATCTTCATTTGAAGGGCTTTCATTTACTGTCCCTAATGTCCATCCAAACCTGTATGAATGTACTGTGAGAAACTCAAAACAAGAATATTTGCTGGAACCCATTGACTTCCATTGCACGGACCAAGCACTGAGACATTCAGGAGAAAGTCCGTGTTGTATGTGAGGAGTGAAAGTAGCTGATGTCTGTTCTCCTCGCTCATGGCTCTGTAACCACAGGCTGTCTGTCAGCGGCGATCATTGCAGCGCTTGTGTAATGCGGCTCTGTGCGGTGTGTAGGCGCCGGGTCGCTCTCTCTCTGCTCGTCAGGGGAGAGTTTATCTCATCCATAATAAACAGGCAGAAGACGTGCAGCGCTCCCATCAAATATTGATCTGCTGAGCGTCTGCTGCTGCACTATTCATGTGTGTCACAGACACCGGCCACTCAAAGCCCACAGTCTCTCTCGCTCAGGAACAGACCTCAGGGCTCTAGGGCTCTTATTTGCTTACCTCTGCCCAAGGGCAGGTTTAGTTCATCCGTTACGGTCCTTTGGTCTCTGTTGTTGTTCTTTTTTCAAGTTTGAGATGTAGATCCTCCAATTTTTGCATCCCTTCCAGTGTGGAAACGTTGAAGTTTTTCATGTGTGTTCATTGTTAATTTTTTATCTATTTAGAGTGAATTTTTTTCTATGATTTTTCATTAAAAATAATGATAATTTTCTATATATATATATATATATACTCATTATTGATTATGATGCAGAATTTATGTAAGAAATGTAACTAATCATCTGCATAACTTGGCCATATTTGAAGACGTTCATGTGTAACATAGGGTTGTTGAATTTGTTTTTATCAGTGCATTTATTGAATATTGATTGGTGGTTGTCAGATCTTGCAGCTGTGTTTCCGCTGTGAAATCTTTCAGTTGTGGTGTGATTTTTAACTTGGGTATATATTGTGTAGGGTGACCATATGTGCCATTTTCCCAGGACGCGTCCTGGCCAGGATTTCTATATTGCTTTGATTCAAAGTACCTCGACAGCGTTTCGAAAACACAAGGAACCGATGTCATACACCGATCGGTCTGCACACGCAAACAAAGCCAAACCCTAGATATTTTAGGCAATATAGAAATCCTGGCAGGGACGCGTCCTGGGAAAATGGCACGTATGGTCACCCTATATTTTGTTCATTTTGGGATAATAGTGTTTTCTGATGGTTTTGGTCCTTCCATCTCTCTCTTTGTCTCTCTCGTGACGTTCAGTGTGAGTTTTTGGTCTGTGATGTTCAGTTTTGACAGGAACAGTCTCTTTGGTCCAGAAGCACCAGTATTTCCAGCATCTTTTGAAGTGGATGATATTAATATCCACACAAGCGTTTCTCACCAGTTCTAATCTTAAACCCACATATCGTTTGATCATTAACACATGCTGTGCAGTATTATGAAATTCAGAATTCCAGGTGCTCGTTTACTAGTTTCCTTTCACCGTACTGATTAACACATGACGTGTCTGAAAGATCCTCCCACTTCAGGAATAATAAAAACAACGGTGAGGTCATCTTTGCACAGATATCTGCATTTAGGACAGTTGCTGAGCTGTAACCTCTGTCTGTTTTTCTCGCAGGTTTTTCGCTCCTCCATCATGTCCGTCTGCATTTACCGTGGCTTAGCTCCACCCTCTCAGGCAAGGTGGGCGTGGCTTCATGTGTTGGCTCCGACCCCGCGTCACTGGCCCTGCCCATCGCTGCAGCAGCTGTTGGCTGTGTGTCTGCTGCTGCTGCTGCCGCCGCTGGCCGTCCAATCACGGCGCGAGTGGGGCGGAGGGGGCATGGCCCACTACATCCCATCATCGGTGGCACAGTATCCGCCCGTCTCCAAGCTGGTGCAGGGCCTGAGCATCGCGGTGGTGCTGGTGGGAAACTCCAGTGAGGTGGCGCTCGCCGGCATGCGCGACAAAGACGACTTTGGCCACATGCCACTGGCGCCCAACGTGGAGATGCTCACCATGAACGAGACGGACCCCAAGAGCATCATCAAGAGCATCTGCGACCTGATGACGGAGCACTGGCTGCAGGGCGTGGTGTTCGGAGACGACACCGATCAGGAAGCCATCGCGCAGATCCTGGACTTCATCTCCACGCAGACGCACATCCCCATCCTGGGCGTGAAGGGAGGCTCCTCCATGATCATGGCCGCTAAGGTACGTGCGCTAGTGTTGCTATTATACAGAAGTGGTGAAAATTTATGTCTGAAGAGAAGTGGGTGTGGCAAAATGGCTCGATAGCGCCAGCTATTCACTTTCAGTGAAGTGCGGCTCTCGCTACGTTTCACGTACATGTATGAAAATCAGTGGACACATATGTAGCACAACAATAACTACAAAAAAGTCAGTTATTTTGAATTTTCTCAGCAAATTTTGTGTCCGTTTTCAGGAGTAGTATTTTAACGAACTCCTCCTAGAGATTTAATCAGATCAACACCAAATTTGGTCAGTGTAATCTAAAGCCCATTGTGATGTTAAATTGGGCGTGAAGGGAGGCTTCTCCATGATCATGGCTGCTAAGGTACATGCGCTAATGTTGCTATTATACAGAAGTGTAAAATTTATGTCCGATATGGGTTTCAGAAGTGGGTGTGGCAAAATGACTCGATAGCGCGGCCTATTCACTTTCAATGAAGTGCGGCTCTCGCTACGTTTCACGTACATGTACGAAAACCGGTAGACACATGTAACACACCAATACCTACAAAAAATTATCTTGAAGCAAGTCACTTATTTTGAATTTTCTAGGCAAATTTTGTGTCCGTTTTCAGTCGTAGTATTTTAACGAACTCCTCCTAGAGATTTAATCAGATCAACACCAAATTTGGTCAGTGTAATCTAAAGCCCATTGTGATGTTAAATTGGGCGTGAAGGGAGGCTTCTCCATGATCATGGCTGCTAAGGTACATGCGCTAATGTTGCTATTATACAGAAGTGTAAAATTTATGTCCGATATGGGTTTCAGAAGTGGGTGTGGCAAAATGACTCGATAGCGCGGCCTATTCACTTTCAATGAAGTGCGGCTCTCGCTACGTTTCACGTACATGTACGAAAACCGGTAGACACATGTAACACACCAATACCTACAAAAAATTATCTTGAAGCAAGTCACTTATTTTGAATTTTCTAGGCAAATTTTGTGTCCGTTTTCAGTCGTAGTATTTTAACGAACTCCTCCTAGAGATTTAATCAGATCAACACCAAATTTGGTCAGTGTAATCTAAAGCCCATTGTGATGTTAAATTGGGCGTGAAGGGAGGCTTCTCCATGATCATGGCTGCTAAGGTACATGCGCTAATGTTGCTATTATACAGAAGTGTAAAATTTATGTCCGATATGGGTTTCAGAAGTGGGTGTGGCAAAATGACTCGATAGCGCGGCCTATTCACTTTCAATGAAGTGCGGCTCTCGCTACGTTTCACGTACATGTATGAAAATCAGTGGACACATATGTAGCACAACAATAACTACAAAAAAGTCAGTTATTTTGAATTTTCTCAGCAAATTTTGTGTCCGTTTTCAGGAGTAGTATTTTAACGAACTCCTCCTAGAGATTTAATCAGATCAACACCAAATTTGGTCAGTGTAATCTAAAGCCCATTGTGATGTTAAATTGGGCGTGAAGGGAGGCTTCTCCATGATCATGGCTGCTAAGGTACATGCGCTAATGTTGCTATTATACAGAAGTGTAAAATTTATGTCCGATATGGGTTTCAGAAGTGGGTGTGGCAAAATGACTCGATAGCGCGGCCTATTCACTTTCAATGAAGTGCGGCTCTCGCTACGTTTCACGTACATGTACGAAAACCGGTAGACACATGTAACACACCAATACCTACAAAAAATTATCTTGAAGCAAGTCACTTATTTTGAATTTTCTAGGCAAATTTTGTGTCCGTTTTCAGTCGTAGTATTTTAACGAATTCCTCCTAGAGATTTAATCAGATCAACACCAAATTTGGTCAGTGTAATCTAAAGCCCTTTGTGATGTTAAATTGCGAAGATCTTGAGTTTTGCTTGAAGGTTATGTCCGTGGCGGCCTGACAAATTTTGATGTTTCGCCATGAACCTGGAAGTTGTTATAACTCAGGCATACAATGTCCGATCTTCCCCAAACTTCAGAGCTAATGTACAGTAATTATGAAGAGATGCATGATGGGAAACGGTGTGTGTGTGTGTGTGTGTGTGTGTTTGAGTGTGTGTGTGAGTGTGTGTATGTGTGTGTGTGTGAGGATGATGATGAGCAGCTGGAAGCGTCAGACACTGAGAGAAAATGATCCAGTCGCAGTCGGATGGCAGTGAGTCAGAGCTGCGCCCACACACACAAGGCCATGAGCTCTAAACGCTGCGGAATCACACTGCGCTCGTCTCTCTATCTCTCTCTCCGCTAAACACGCTGATGAAGATGGAGATGAAGAACCGCTGCTCGGCCCACGCGTCCTGGCCAGCGCTAACCGCGCAACCTTCACAATGTCAAACCAGCAGCTTCACAGAGGAACTGGGCAAACATTCACTGCTAGACAGGTCACGTGTGTTTGTCTAGCACTTCATACAAGACCGTTTTTTTTTCATTTTGCTTTTTATTATTCAGAAAAGTACAAAGAAAACAAACATGCAACATCCAAACAGCACAGAAGATGTTTAAATGAAAACTGAACAAATCACATGACAACGGAAAGAGAAAAAATGGGGTAAAAACAATATAAATGTAAAAGTTTAGAATCATAAAAACAAGAATTGAGAGGGTTGATCAGCTCCAGTCGCATACTTTTTAATATGATTAAATGTTACAATTTGAAGTCTGGACCAATATGTTAATTTCTCTAGGGATACAGATTGTTATATGCAAATATTAGTAGTAATGTTGCAAAATTCATCAATTATTAAACAACTTTAATTTCAGCTGTAAAGCGGCTCAACAGAATCAGAATCAGAATCAGAAAGAGCTTTATTGCCAAGTATGTTTGCACATACAAGGAATTTTTTATAGTGTCACAAGCTTCCAGTACACGGAGACAACAACAACACACAGATAATAAAAATAAGATGTGAATAAAATACACATGCATAAATATAAACCACAAAAAAAGAATAAATTGTATGTACAGGTGTGCTATAGATAGAATAGGAATAGAATAAAATAAAATAAAATAAAGTTGTAGGGATGTACTAGGATTTAGGGTGATAAATAAGTATAAGGTTATTGCACATACTTTAATTGCACAATGGGAGAACATTAACTGTTCATGAGGTAGATTGCCTGGGGAAAGAAACTGTTCTTGTGCCTGACTGTCCTGGTATTCGGTGCTCTGTAACACCGACCAGATGGCAAAAGTTCAAAAAGGAGATGGCTTGGATGTGATGGATCCAGAGTGATTTTCTGAGCCCTTTTCCTCACTCTGGATGTATACAGTTCTTGGAGGGTAGGCAGGGGGGCACCAATAATCCTTTCAGCAGTCCGAACCGTTCTCTGTAGTCTTCTGATGTCTGATTTTGTAGCTGAACCAAACCAGACAGTTATTGAAGTGCACAGAACAGACTCAATGACGGCTGAGTAGAACTGCTTCAGTTTTTTATTTTTTTTATCTGTGTTTTTGTTTTGTCACTGTCATTCTTTTGCACTGTGGAAGCTTCTGTCACAAAAACAAATTCCTCGTATGTGTTAACATACCTGCCAATAAAGCTCATTCTGATTCTGATTCTGATTCTTCAGTGGAACAACAGAAGAAATTTTGAGGAGTGTCTCAGTGTCCGTGTGATGGAAGTCAATGGGCTCCATTGTTGTTTGAGCCCCAGTGTTCTTCATAATATCTTCTGTAAAGTCTTTCAGGTTTGGAGTGACATGAGGAATGAGCCGATTTTTGGGTGAACTGTCACTTTATGCTAGAATGATTCTCTGTACTGAGAGATCCAGGCTGGTTTACTCTGGCTTGTGCTGGTTTGAGTTGGTTTATACAGGTTTATATTGTCATACGCTGGTTTATGCTGGCTTGTACTGGTTTATGTTGGTTTGTTCTGCGTTATTTGGGTTTGTGCTGGTTTATGCTGGTTTGTGTAGGTTTATGCTGGTTTGTGTTGCTTTATTTTGGTTTCTGCTGGTCTGGTTGTACTGCTTCAACAGCACACGAGTACCGAATTGAGTTCTCTATTGCATCTTCTTGAGAAAATACACATAAAATGATGTCAGAATGGCTTCCTTGACAAGTATCCAAGTAGACAGACGTGGAGGAGACGAATTGTTGAATAAAGTCATTATTTTTTGCATACAAAAAGTATTCTCGTAGCTTCGTATAATTACGGTTGAACCCCTGATGTCACATGGATTATTTTACCGATCTCCTTGCTACGTTTCTGGACCTTGATCGTGGTAATTACATTGCTGTCTATGGGAGGGTCAGAGAGCTGTCAGAATTCAATTCATCAAAAATATCTTAATTTGTGTTCCGAAGATGAACGGAGGTCTTACAGGTTTAGAACGACATGAGGGTGAGTAATTAATGACAGAATTTTCATTTTTGGGTGAACTAACCCTTTAAGTGCGAACTGTAGTTTCGATTTGAGCAATTGCCCTGCTATAGACTATTGGCTGGTGGCACAGTGACTGGTCTTCAATGAGCCCAAAAGAGCCCATGTTACACCTCTCTTTATCTCCTTGCACTGGCTGCCGGATGCGGCTCGCATCAAGTTCAAGTCATTGATGCTTGCATGTAGAACAGCCACAGGCTCAGCACCCGCCTACTTCCACTCACTACTACAAATCTACATCCCCTCCAGAAGTCTGAGATCCGCTAGTGAGCGACGCCTCGTGGTACCATCACAGAGAGGCTCAAAATCACTTTCCATAACATTCTCGTTCACTGTTCCCGGCTGCTGGAATGATCTTCCCACCCCTATCCGGAATGCTGAATCCCTGACAATTTTCAAGCAACAGCTGAAAACTCATCTCTTTCGACGCTACTTGACTTCATCTTAAATAAAAAAAAAAAGCTTTGTCTTTCTCTTTATTTATTCCTTTCCTTTCTAGCTTGTACTTATTTGAACAAATGCCTGTAACTTGGTATTACAAGCACTTCCTGTGTCTGTTTGCCTCTTTAAGAAGAATCGCTTTATGTATTCCCCAATTGTAAGTCCCTTTGGATAAAAGCGTCTGCAAAATGACAATGTAAATGTAAATGTAAAAACGGAGCGAGAGAGAAAAGAAGAGGTATGAAACGCGAATGGGGATGTGATTTACCAGCTTTCAGATGTATTTCCAAGAAAAAAATATCGTCTTATATTCGGGACAATACGGTAGTTCAAAACTTCTCACATGGAGACCCAAATCATTCAAAATAATCAACAAAAAGTTGTTAATCAAACATTTATTTTAATTTAAATTTATTTTCATCCTAACTAATAAAAAAAACATATATAAAAAAAAAAAAAGCTTTGTCTTTCTCTTTATTTATTCCTTTCCTTTCTAGCTTGTACTTATTTGAACAAATGCCTGTAACTTGGTATTACAAGCACTTCCTGTGTCTGTTTGCCTCTTTAAGAAGAATCGCTTTATGTATTTCCCAATTGTAAGCCGCTTTGGATAAAAGCATCTGCAAAATGACTAAATGTAAATGTAAATGTTCTGCCCTCTGTGTTTAAACAGATCGTAGTTGATCTGTGAACCATACGGACCAGGCCTCACAGTTCGGCATGTACATTATTCGTGGATTAGCTGCAAAGTTAACCATCATAGAGTGATTGCATGTTTTTAAGTCTTGCCATTGTAAACATTCAAGCGACTTTAAACAATTCAAGCACAAGAAGAGGTGAAAGAGAACTCTATTCGGTACTCACACACTGTTTTCGCACTCAAGGCATTCTAAAGTTGTTCTATTGCATTTGTCTGTGCACGAATGAGTTTATTTGTTCTTATTTTATTACTGAGAGTTCACTTGTTTTTAATAATGTTGGAATTTTATTAGTTAGACTCATTAGAATTAGAGTCCGACCGATATATTGTTTTGCCAATTTTATCGGCCGATATGAGCCTGTCGCAGATATATCGGTATCGGCGAATATGCCGCAGATATGAAATTTTTTTTTTACAGAACATATAGACCTTTTTCCTGAATAAACAATGAGCACCGCCATTACACAGATGAAATGCTTCTGAATGGTGTAATTACTTAGTTTGTCCATGAGTGAGTGAGTGAGTGAGTGAGTGTGTGTGTGTGTGTGTGTGTGTGTGTGAGAGCGAGAGTGTGAGTGTGTGTGTGTTAATGTCAGGATAGTCAGAGAAGCACAGCTGCCAAAGCAGTGTGTAGCCACAGTGCGACAGCGGAAGAACTGCTTGTGTGTGTGTGTGTGTGTGTGTGAGGGGCTGTTACACACTCACATCACCTCAGACTGTCGCGCTCTGTCTGATATCACATTATCTATTCTGTATTTGAACCATTTCACGTATTATCTCATGTTGGTAATTGTAACACTAATATTATTAAATTAATAACATTCGATTAAATTAAATTAAACATCATGAGAAGACAAAAGCTGAGACAAATCCGTCATCAAGATGTTTTTAACTAAAATAAAATAGAGTCCATAATCCATAATAACTCTTCCTCCAGTGATAAAGTGTCCTGGTGTGAATCAGGAGAGAGATCTGCACAGATCAAGCACCGTTAATCAGCTCTAAACTAATATGTGGCTGGATTTTGATGTGAGAGACAACAAGAGATGCACAGATGCATGGATTATGGACTGGTGATGATGTTCTCGGCTGTGAGTCTCACGTAGTTTCCCCGTGTTGATCTGGTTTAGGCGCTAATAGTGTCTCTAATGGTCTCGTTAAAAAGAGCCAACTATTTAATTAAAAATGAGCGTCAGAATGAGGTCAGCTCTAATTAAGCTGTAAGGACTAATTACATGCGCATGAGTTTAATTAGAGAATGCACATTATGTGTGACATAACGGCACAAACACGGGATAGCGACGGAAGCGTTTAATGAAGAGGCTCGAATGTGAACGTCTGTAACGTGTGTGAATGTCCGGTCACGTGACCCTGCAGGTCATGTGATCACCACCTGCTCAACCTGGCCAATTATATAGCACTGGACGATAAGTGATGATATAAACGATCATGACTCCTGTGTGTCTCTCTGCAGGACGATAACTCCATGTTCTTTCAGTTCGGACCCTCCATCGAGCAGCAGGCGTCTGTCATGCTCAACATCATGGAGGAGTATGACTGGTACATCTTCTCCATCGTCACCACATACTACCCCGGCTACCAGGACTTTGTTACCAAGGTAAAGATGCTGTGTGTGTGTGTGTGTACAGTGTTGGGAAGGTTACATTGGAAATGTAATAGGTTACAGATTACAAGTTACTTTATTTAAAATGTAATAAGTAGTGCAATTTTTCAATTACTAAAGTAATTTTGATTACGTTTTGATTACTTTTCTAAATTTCTAATGAATGTTTTCATCTTTTAAGCCCCGTTCACACCAAGGACGATAACTATAAACATATCGATAAAGATATCGTTCTAAAAATCGTTCTCAATATTAAAGAAAGAGTCCACACCACCACAGCTATAACGATAAAGACACAGAGAAACGATATAGTTGGAATCACTTTAAGAACGATTTTTTTCCAGCTGATGAATGATACAAACACTGACAGCCAATCAGAATCCATCCTGCGATCATGAGCTCGAGAGGATTTAAAGCGGCAGACGAGCGTGCGCTTAAAATAAACAGACTGGAGTTATATAGCCTATACACTAATATAGTTATCTTTATAGTTATCGCTCTTGGTGTGAACGGAGCTTTAATCATTTTGAAACATTTAAAGCAGGCAAGGTTAACCTTACAGTAACAATAGCGCTCAACACTGATTACTCTCACTTTCGCTATCCTTCATCACTTGAATTAAGATTATTTTAATTTTAAAGGGGACATCGAATGCAAAATTCACTTTTACATGGGGTTTGCATATGAATGTCTTAGCAGTGTGTTAGTAAAAGTACCCATCTTTAAATCTACTTTTAAAAGTACAGTTTTTCAAAAAATTTACTCATTTAGTAAATGTAACAGAGTAAATGTAATTCGTTTCTCTGCTGTTTGGGGATTAAGTGTAACTGAAAAAAACTGTACTTTTACTTCGCTACAGTGGGCGGCCTTCCCTCCATTACTTTTTTTTTTTTTTTTTTTTTTACAATTTGTATGCTGTACATGTTAAGAAACATGTAGATTCTCTGTCTCTTTTATCTGGAGAATGAACGATGCCCCAGTTGCAAATTAATCACTCTTTTGAGTCGATTCTGTTCAAGGCCTTGAACAAACAAGACTGCAAAGCGATCTGAATTGGTTTGCAAATCACTTTGAATGATTCGTTCGGTTCTCTGCACGCACTGAATCGTCTGAAGCGGTTTCTCATTGATTCCGGGTAATTCGAGAACACGGAGAACATTAAGATCTAACGTTACAGTCAATTGAAGCCAAATCTGCAAATTCTGCTGTCGTGCTGTCTGTGAACGATTCCACGGGTATATATTCGATTTCATTCAAGTAATGTATTGTAGCGGTAAGCTAAATCGACTGTCAAGTGAACTGTGTAGAGTGAAATTAATTTGCTTAATTACATTGTATCAAATCATTTTTCGAGCACGGTCTGCAGCATTGAGCACTATAACCAATCACACACGTTTCTGTTGAGCAATCAGAGGCGTTTTGATTGGTCACCGCGGAGAACTCCGGAGTTGTTCAGAGTTGTAAATAGGAAATAAAACAGTTATGGAATAAGCATGTGTCCTAAACTCCTGAAACATTGGAGTCTCATATTTTAGAGCAGTCACTGCATTCTGGGAAAGAACTCCATCAGATCTCATGTGTGTGTATGATGTGACCCCGTCCTCAGATCCGCAGCACCATCGAGAACAGTTTTGTGGGCTGGGAGCTGGAGGAGGTGCTGCTGCTGGACATGTCTGTGGACGACGGAGACGCCAAGATCCAGAACCAGCTGAAGAAGCTGCAGAGCCCCGTCATCCTGCTCTACTCCACCAAAGAGGAGGCCAACATCATCTTGGAGGTGGCGCACTCGGTGGGCCTGACGGGCTACGGCTACACCTGGATCGCCCCGTCTCTGGTGGCGGGAGACGCCGATCACATCCCGGCCGAGTTTCCCACAGGTGAGAGCTCTGAGACTCTGGCAGGGTTTGGACTTACCTGTATTCAGTTGAGTTCTCTATGTTGAGGTTTTAGACGCTTTTTGTGTGTTGAGATTAGGGATGCACGATATTATCGGACCGATATTGGAATCAGCCGATAATGGGTTAAAATGTAAATATCGGCATCGGACCGATATGAAAAATTACGCCGATATGTCTTGCCGATAAGAGGAATACATTAACTCACATGTGCTCAAGGTGTGCTAGTGGTCATAAAGAGTTGAAAAATATCGGCATATCGGCAAAAATGCACTATCGTGCATCCCTAATTGAGCTGATTGTAGGTTTAATTCATTTTTATGTCAGTTTTAGTTTTTGGTACATCAAATCAAACTGATGAAAATGTTGGTGAAATCCAGTTGGATGTTGTATTTCCGCTGAAGTTTGTTTAGTGTTTCTGGTTGTGTTTGACTGAGCTGATAAAGCGCGTGTCGTCTGCGCAGGCATGATCTCGGTGTCATACGACGAGTGGGATTACGGTCTGGAGGCGCGTGTTCGTGATGGTGTGGCTGTGATCGCCTCGGCCACCTCCACCATGATGATAGACCGAGGGCCACACACACTGCTCAAGTCTGAGTGCCACGGGGCCCTGGACAAGAAGAGCCCCATCAGCAACGAGGTGCTCAGGTCAGACTCACTCTCTCACACACACACTCACACACACACACACACACACACACACACACACACACACTCACACTCACTCACTCACTC